CGCATCGGAGCTGCAGGACTGTACTCCGCGTACTACAGTTGTACTTAAAAGTTGCGATTTTCCAGCCGGAGCTGCATCCGCGTACTACGTTTGCACTTAAAAGTTGCGATTTCTGTCTAGAAAAGCTGCCGCGGACCAGGCGGGGATCGAAACCGCGACCGCGCGACTCCGAGAGCAGCGCGCACCACGCGACAACTTCCAAAGACTACTTCGCAAGCAACAAATTCGCACGGCGCCACAGCGAGAGCGCTTCGACGCGCACGATCCTCGCAGAAGTTCGCGCGAGCATATTCAGAATCGAAAAACCATCAGTTTTTGCACCTCGACCCTCGCAGACGGTTCCTCCTGGAATGTCAAAAACGCAAAAATCTTCAGTTTTTTGACCTCGACCGCACGAATCTCCGCAGAGGGTCGCTCGCGCACCGCAGAAATCGTAAAAAGTCCTCAGTTTTTTTGACCTCGACCGCACGCATCTCCGCAGAGGGTCGCTCGCGCACCGCAGAAATCGTAAAAAGTCCGCATTTTTTTGACCTCGACCACACGAATCTCCGCAGAGGGTCGCTCGCGCACCGCAGAAATCGTAAAAAGTCCGCAGTTTTTTTGACCTCGACCACACGAATCTCCGTAGAGGGTTGATTTTCGTAGCGTGCTGTCGGCCCTACCCCGCCGCCCTAAGAAGAGAAGAAAGGAGCTTAAAACTCGTCATGAGTGAGAACTCTCATGAGCATTGCTCCTCGCCAGTGACTCTCACGAGCATTGCTCCTCGCAAGTGACTCTCATGAGCATTGCTCCTCGCCAGTACTCTCACGAGCATTGCTCCTCGCAAGTGACTCTCTGCTATGACTCTGTGCAATGACTTTCATGATGATGATGACTCTGCGCAATGACTCTGATGATGATGACTCTTTGCAATGATTGTGATGATGACTCTGCGCAATGACTCTGATGATGATAACTCCTTGCAATGACTCCCATGAATCCAACGGAAGAACCCCTCGCCATGCTTTCGGGAAAACCTTGGCAGTTTTAGAGTAGAACCGTAGAACCGCAACTGCGCGTTGTGAGCTCTAAGTCTCGACCACACAGGGCTACACTTCATCTTGGCAGCGCAACACAACGGACAAAGAAAAGCTGAGCAAACAGTGCCGTCTGCCATAGCGGAGAAGTGCGGAATCATTGTTCACGCGGCGGAAGCTCCTCAGCCACTCGCAAGCCGTGTGGAGGCAGGCAGGTTGCACGGGTCCTGCGCGCAACGGTCGGGAAATGTAAGAGCTGCTGCTACACAGTAAGTCGCAATGAGTGGTTATATGGCAACACAAGTTTTTCGCTGGGAGTCTTGGAGGCAACTTCAAAACCGTTCCTCTACGTCATGTTGTTGTAGTTGTCATGTCATGGCGTCGTTTTGGCTGCGCCTCGTTCACAGGCCCCAACATGTGTAACACGAGGAACTTCTGCGAAAAGGCAGTGGTTACCTCAACAGTCAGCAAAGTAAACCAAAGACACTACATGCGAGCGTAGTTTCAATCCCGGAGAACAATGAGAACAATGGGAAGGGGCGTCGTGCCGCTGCTGTGCTTGAAGGCCTCATGTCAAAGTGGGTTGACGCTTCTCGCGTGAGAGCGTTCATGACCAGCTCCAGCATGCCACTCCTGAAGCAAGCCGCTCACGAGCGTAATGTGGGCTTTGTATGACCGTGGCCGCTACTTCATGCGTCAGTTCAACCCAGCGTCCGGGAGAAAAGTGGAAACACTGCGAAACACAGCTGAAAGATTAAAGTAGAATGTTCAAGCAATGCAAAAGACCTGGGGAAACATCGAAAAACACAAACAATAAAACACAAGACGATGTCGACAGACCAGACGCGGGGTAGTTTTTGTTTTTTCTTTTAGCTTTCTCCAAAGTGTGAAAAACCCGAAGATTAAATACAAAAAGCAAAAACAAGAACCTGTCAGCTGGCATAGTTTGTGGTTTGTTTTGTTGCTGCGGCTTTTTGTGTTTTACTGTTTGCGGCCTGTTGGCAAGTAGTCAAGCGCGCTGATGTAGCTCACGCTCAGGCCGTAGTACAGTAAGCTAGAGACGGGCTTTCTCTGATTCGACTCGTTCTGCTTTAAACCTTCTTAGTTTTCGTTAGGACTAAGTAGAACTTGACAAGCATTTTAGGTACATTTCGTAAGGTATAACTTAGAGGCACCACATAGTTACATACACGCTGTAAAAATATCTGCTGATTTGCAAAGCCAGTTCTTTTGGGAAGGAAACCCTGTGTAGTATTCATTTGGAAGCAGAATAACGACTTCTTAATTTCTAATTCAACAAAGAACGGTTTGGGTTCTTTCCTGTGAAAATGTCACCTAGTGTTAGGCGGAAATTAAGTGGAGCTTGATGACTATATGAAGTAGAATTCATAGGGAAAGGAGCGTCCCGAAAATGCTAAGTACATGTTGTTGAGATGCTACCTGATTTGTAGGGACAAGCCTATTGGAAAGGAATCCCTGTCTAGAATGTTTTTTGAAATCAAAGAAGCACATTAGAATTCTCATGGAGGCTAGAAATTCGGATTGCGGGAAATTCCTTAAGACTTTCAAGTTAATTTCAGTTAGAAAATTGAATAAGATTTGATAAGTGTATAAGTAGCTTTCACAAGAACCGAATTCAGAGGTCCCGAAGTCTTTTTTGTTTACTAGACCCAACGCGGCAATGGTCAACACCGTAAGCAATCCTTTGTAGCGTTTGTCGTAGTTTACATCTCCACCAAAGTCAGATCTCTAAAACTCAGTTTGAACTTGAATAGGGCTTATTGGGGCCCAACAAGGAAATACTTGGTCAGAACCCTTTTGCAAATGACATCTTGCCCTTCCCAATAGAATTCTACAATTAAAGCAGAGCTTAAACACAACTCGGTGAAGAATGAATCCAATCGCAACTTCTGTCTTTTAATAGAACTTAAACTAGAACGATTCTATTTAAAACGTTGTTTTCACAGTATGTTCTTTCCAAGGGAATATTATATTTACTTTGTAATTGTTTACATGAAAAATATTTTTGTTTGAGCTCCAAATTGGGCGTGCTTTGGTTTGTCGAACTACTTTCTTGTTATGTTGGGTTGTTATTGGACTGTGTTGTTTTGAGTGGTTTGGTATGGTTTTAAAATGGCAATGAAAGATTTCTAATGAGTTGTGAGATACATATGGATGGATGTAGTTTAGGAGGCTTGTTAATGAAAATTGCTTGATATGGCTGGTTTGGATTCTTATTTTGAGTGGTTTGGTTTGGTAGTTACGTATTAACAGGAATATAAATGAGTATTTGATGTTTTTTGGAGAATTAATCAGTTTGATTTTTTTGTGGTGTTGGAGGTTTTGCGGAAAGTGTTTGTTTTATTTGATAAAAAGGGACGTTGTTGTTGGAAGGTAAAGGTGTTGATTTATTTTGTGTTTTGGAACTAACTTTGGTTTTTTGAATTGCGATGGTTTTACTATTGTTTGTGATCGGATAATTATTTATTTTCTGTTATGAAGGTTTTTTTGTGCGGTTATTTGGTTATTTATCATGATGGTATAAGAGGCCTATGAATGGGGTTGAAATGTACTGTATGAGGTTTGTTGAGAACTGGATTTGTTGTTTTTGAACGATTAGAAATATGTTGGTTGTTTTTGTTTGTTGGAGTAATGGTTTTGATTTATTGTTGTTTGGTAGTTAGGTATTTTCAGATTTTATTATGGCTTATATTTAGTTTTGAGATTAGTCTATAATATTATTTGGTTGGTTTTATTAAATGCATTGCAATTTGTATGTACTTGATAGTAATTTTGCTTAAAAAATGTTGACAAGTATGTTATATTATCTGATTAGTCTATATTTTAGGTATATGGGGTTGTGAATTTGTATGTTGTTATTTTGTTGTGTTTAAACTGTTGGTTTAGGATGATAACTGACATTTTGAGTATGATGTAAAAGTTGAATTATAAGAGTTGTTTGTTTGAATATGTTTATTTGTATTTTTCGTTATGAATTAGTTTCTACTATTTAGTTTTTATATTATGATACTATATAGGTTGAAAGTATAAATGAATTTTTAAAATTGAATATGATAGTAAAAGCATGTTGGATTTATATTTTGTTTTTCAGGTAGGTAATTGTTTTAAACGATAAAAGAAGCCTTGAACATTCGACCGAAACTGAAATGTATATGGGTATGGAGTAGAATTAAAGGATTATGGTATGGTAGGCGTTTATTTTGTCTTTATATTAGGATTTTTGTGTTTATTTTTGATTTATATTTTCGGTATTGGCCATCTTTGTGTTTATTATAAGTTTTTGTTATTTGCCTGCCGTTATTCACTATTTTTAATATGTTACAAAATTCCGTTTTTTGTATAATGTATTTGTTACCGTTTTGCATAAGATACTTAAGAACGGACATATTGATAAACAGATTTTGTTAGTTTTGTATGGCCCCTTTGGATTATGTGCTTATGGCTCGAGCCTTCCCGAGCGTAGGATTGCTTAATTGGAAGGGCTGTTGTGAAACAGATATCCTTTTGAATGGACCTTTGTTACGCATTGTGTTAATGGAAGGGTGGATATTATATTGTTTATTTGGTTTCAGTATGAAATAATATTGCATTCTTTTTTGAATATTTTATCTGACTTATTCATGTAAAATTCACCAGAGACTTTTTAAATATAGATTGATGATACTGACAGGTTGTATCACTGTATATTTATTGGAACTATTTTATTTAATTCCGGTTTAAAGTGTTTTGGAATAATTGGTCTGGGGGGTGGGAATTTTTGCCTTTCATATTTGACATTAACCTGCTTTACAATTCAGCCAGCATATCCAAACACATTATGCAAGCATGGTTCAACTCGAGTACCCATTCAAAACGTGAAACACCCCGCCCGGATTGTTTTCTGTTTGGGCCCCAAGTGTTGATGTTGTATTCCGGAGCTCTGCGTGTTTGACATGTTGGTGCATCCCGCGGAGCATGGAGCAGGAAATCAGGGCCGGCAATCAGCTCGTGGACCAGTTCCAGCCCCTCTACTTTGCCGTCGCCTTCTGCTTCTGCTTCCCCGCGGGACCGCGGGCCCAGACGTCCGGAACGGCGCCGCAGCAGGCACGAGAGGCGCGGCGACGGGGGGCGGGAAAGGGCGGGGGCCACGTGGGCCACGTGGAACCAGCCGGTGTGAGTGCATTCCTTGGACACCCAATTCAACTTTGCACTGACCCTTGGCGATTTTTCTATCGCAGACGCTGCCCCTGGCCAAAGGCGGAAGAGGCACACACTGCCCTCGCCTCCCGACTGTGTGTGTGTGTGTCTGTGTTTGTGTGTGTGTGTGTGTACGTGTGCGTGTGCGTGTGCGTGTGCATGTGCGTGTGCCTGTGTGTGTGTGTGTGGGTGCGTGCGTGCGTGCGTGCGTGCGTGCGTGCGTGCGTGGGTCGTGCGTGCGTGCGTGCGTGCGTGCGTGCGTGCGTGCGTGCGTGCGTGCGTGCGTGCGTGCGTGCGTGCGTGCGTGCGTGCGTGCGTGCGTGCGTGCGTGCGTGCGTGCGTGCGTGCGTGCGTGCGTGCGTGCGTGCGTGCGTGCGTGCGTGCGTGCGTGCGTGCGTGCGTGCGTGCGTGCGTGCGTGCGTGCGTGCGTGCGTGCGTGCGTGCGTGCGTGCGTGCGTGCGTGCGTGCGTGCGTGCGTGCGTGCGTGCGTGCGTGCGTGCGTGCGTGCGTGCGTGCGTGCGTGCGTGCGTGCGTGCGTGCGTGCGTGCGTGCGTGCGTGCGTGCGTGCGTGCGTGCGTGCGTGCGTGCGTGCGTGCGTGTGTGTGTGTGTGTGTGTGTGTGTGTGTGTGTGTGTGTGTGTGTGTGTGTGTGTGTGTGTGTGTGTGTGTGTGTGTGTGTGTGTGTGTGTGTGTGTGTGTGTGTGTGTGTGTGTGTGTGTGTGTGTGTGTGTGTGTGTTTGTGTGTGTTTGTGTGTGTGTGTAGTGTGTGGGTGTGTGCGTGTTTGTGTGTTTCTGTGTTTCTGTGTTTCTGTGTGTGTTTGTGTGTTTGTGTATGTCACTGTGTGTCACTGTTTGAGTGTCTGTGTGTGTGTTTGTGTGTTTGATGTTTTTCTTTGTGTGGGTGTCTGTGTCTGTGTTTGTGTTTTCGTGTCTGTGTGTGTGTCTGTCTCTGTGTGTGTGTGCCCGTGTGACTGTTTCTGTGTGTGTGTGTCTGTGTGTTTGTGTGTGTGGTGCCCGTGTGTGTTTGTGTTTGTGTTTGTGTGTACGTGTGCGTGTGCGGGTGTGTGTGTGTGTGTGCGTGTGTCTGTGTGTGTGTGTGTGTGTCTGTGTGTGTTTGTGTTTTTGTGCGCGTGTGTGTGTGTGTTTGCGTTTGCGTGAACATGGTGTGGGTGTGTGGGTGTGCTTGTGTGTGCGTGCGCGTGCTTGCGTGCGAGTGTGCCTGTGTTTGCGGGCGCGTGCGTGCGTGCCTGCGCGCGTGCGTGTCGGTGTTGCGCGCGCATGTCTGTGTGAGTGAGTGGTGTGTGTGTGTGTGAACGCTCGTGTGTCTGTGTGAGTTAGTGGTTGTGTGTGTGTGAATGCGCGTGTGTCTGTGCGAGTGGGTGTTTGTGTGTGTGTGTGTGTCTGCGCGCGTGTGCGTTTGTGCGTGCATGTGTGCTTGTGTGCGTGTGCGCGCTGCTTGTGTCCGTATGTATCGGCGCTGTCTGTGCGTCGGCGCTATGTGTGTGTGTGTGTGTATGTGTGCGCGCGCACGCGTGTCTCGATGTGCTCCTGCGCAGGTGTTTGCATTGCGCTCGGGTTCTCGTCCAAGCGTGGGAACTAGATCTAGAGCTGGGCCTGAGATTCCGGAGACCGGACACGAGCCGAACAAAAACGATTGGCGTGCAGCTTTCGTTTGGTTTCCGGAGGAGCTAGCATGAAACGACCCGCCCGCCCCTTGGTTTTTAAACCTACATGTGTTGCACGAGAGGCTTGGGCGGTCTCTCTGCCAGTTGAGAGGCCCTATTTGTTGCTTTGCTGTTGGTTGCAATGACCGTAGTAAAGTAACATAGGCCCCAACAAAGAGGCCTCTCCCAACGGAAAACGCGTGTAGACACGTCACGTTTTTGGGCTCACCCTCATTTTGCGCGGAACCCTGGTTGCACACTTCTGACTATCTCCTCTGCCTCGCTTGCTGCGCGCAGAGCCAGCACTTGCTCGCCGGCGGCGCAGCGGCCATGGCGGCAGCCGCTTGGGGTCGGACCTGTTTGTCAAATAAGTTGTGCGACGAGCTGCGCTGTCTGTCAGAACCCGAGCGATGCCCTTTTAACTCAGGTAGTGGATGTACGCCCCTCCGTTTCTTCAGCGAGCGGTTCAAACCTCCCGTGGTCTACAGGCCTACAGGGAATCACGGTCTGAACTCGCGAAACTCAAGCTGCCCTCCCTTAATAGACAAAAATCAAAAACGCGGAACTCCAACTCAAGCCGTTCCCCGCCCACAAAACTGGAGTCAAAGCTCTCAAAGGCAAACTCAACCAACCCCCACCCAGAAGGGCAGCGCGCGCAAGGAAAAAGCTTGCAGCGCTGAGGGTGTCACGGCGCTGAGGTGTCACGGCGCTGCGCCTTTGTAAGCGATGAAAAAACAACAAATCGGTGCCAACGCTTTGCTGGAAGAAAAGTACCCAGGCGCGACACGAACGATCAAATGTCATTGGAGGTAGTGTTTGCTCGCGGGAACAGCTGGAAGAGTGCTAGAGAAATTGGTTTCCAGTAGAAACGTGTTAAAGGGGCAAAGCAGCGCTTTGACTTGGACCTCGGAAGGTGCAATTCACAAGCTCTCAGGTGTGCACGTTTCACCCGTTGGACGTCATCAAGACTCGGCTCATGGCCCAGACGCCAGCTCTGGCACGTTTGGGCTGCGTCTCAGCGGATTTCTTGCGACAGGTTGATGGTTGGCTTGGCTGGGGCTGGTTTCGGCTGCGGGTCAGGGAGCCAGATATGTGAGCATTTTCTAGGAAGCCCGCCCCGCAATTTTTGTTGGGATCTTCGGCAGAAAGCCCGGCGAAAGCCAAACGCTCTCTTGAACTTGCGTGTAAACGGATCAACCGGATCTCGTCGAAGACTTGGGCCGACCAGATTTGGAAATTTAAAGTTTTAAGTTTAAGTCTAGGCGGCCCACGTGACCGCCATTTATTTCTAGGCGCCTTAGTTGCAATGAAAGCGTTTCTTTCTGCAAGGCAAAGTTATCAAGCGCAAGGTAGTTTTTGCATTTGGCAGCAGCCGCCTGTTTGAGGTCACGACGGTCGCTCTGCAGCTTTGCCCCTCCCCAACCCCCCCAGAGAACAAAACAAAAGCAAGGTTTTTACAAAGAAAACAAAGGTGCGGAACATCCCTTCCAAACCACCCCCTCCAGAAACAACGGCAAGCTGGTTGCACACCCCGCCTGAATCAGAGAAACATTTCGGCGTAGACACCAAACAGCTGCTTTCCATTTTGGCGTTTTGAGCCGCAAACACGACAGCTTTACTTCCGAACTTAGCAGGGGGCAACGCGACACGTTAGCGCACGCATCTACACCGCTGATGAAAGCAGCCAGCAATCCCGCGGGCAGTATCAGAACAACAACCCCTTGCAAACGAATCAAGTGTGCTCCAATGTGTAAGCAGCATGGCGACAATGTAGCAACATCATGAAGACGCAAGACGTAGAATTTCAACAGAGACGGTCACAAGAATGACGCAGGCGAAGCCATCAAGACGCATGCAGCCGCACTGTGACGCAGGCAGCGCCTTAGAGACACCTCGCGTGGCAGTGCTGCACTTGCAATTGCAATCATGCGCGCAGAAAGAGTTTGCCGGCTGAGCTGGGAGGAGGCGTGGGAAACGTAAAAGTCTGGGTCTGATGGAGGATGTCACAAGAGCAAGATACATGGCGACCTCTCTTTCAAAGGACACAACAGACTTCGGGATCCGTGCAAGTAGCGCCATAGCCGTGCAGCCAGCATCACGATGATGCGGGCAGCGGTGTGCAAATGCAGACGCAGAAAGTGTAACAGGCGGCGTTGTGTAGACTCAGACAGCGTGGTGAGGATGTAGGCAGCGTCGCATTAACGCGGGCAACGCTGACTTGTTCCTGCACGTGTTCTTCCAGCTTTACGCGCTGGCTCCTGCTGCCGCTTTTGTTTGTTAGCAGGGCTGCCCTGCCAGCTGCCCTGCCTGCCCTGATCGCTGTCCTGCGACGGCCCCCCCTCAGTTTGAACGATGACGCCCTAGAAGTGCAGGAGCGCAGCAAATCCCAAATAAGGCCAAGCTGAGGTTGAGGCAGCGTCGCAAGACTGCAGGCAACCTCAGAATGACGCCGGCAGTACAGCTGATGCTTGCAAAGTTGGAAAAGTGGAAGCAGCATCTTGATGGTTCATGATTTACGCTCCCCTTGCGTACGCAAAGGAGCGTAGCTGTGTGCACAAGTAAGTGGAATTGCGGTGACACACAAACCCTTCACAGCACAGGTCGCATCACGCTCGCGATGACGCAGGCAGCATCGCGACCATATCCACTGCAGGGCGCACTAGAGGCATCGCCGAAGTCAGGGCGGTGTTCGCCAATCTCCCGCGCGCCACGCAAGCGCGATCGTAACTTTTAGGCCAGGCTGGGCTCAGCAAGCAGGCAATCTAGCAACGAACCAGGCCATGATAAGAGGCGCGCAGCGCGGCGCATCCAACAGCTAATCCGGCTGCCATGAGTCCCGCCTACTTATACTATAACAGCGCTCATAAACTCCGCAACAGTAGTTATAAGACCCGTAACAGAAGTTACATAAGTACCTCCAAGTTCCTGAAAAGTTAGCATTCTCACGGCGGGACTTATCAGTAACATAGGCTTTTTTGTGGAACGCACTTAGCAGACTCACAAACTACTTCCGCTACTTACGATTTTGGTCTGTTTCCAAGGGCCCGCGCAGAGCATGACTCGAACGTTGTGTTTGTTGAGGAAGTAGACGCAACACAGAGCGAAGCAAAACTCCTTTTTTGGCAAGAAGAGAGGCATGCCGAGGCTGAGCGAAAACTAGAAGAGATGGAGAAAAAAGAAAAGGGCGAGGGCGGGGCTGGGAAGGGGGGGGGGCTGGGAAGGGGGAGGGCGGGGCTGGCTCTTTGCTTTTCTCTCCGTTGGGTGTCGGTGGGCTGCTTTGAAAATGGCCGCGGCGCGTTTTTTCTTCTTCTTTTTTTTGGGGGGGGGGGGGTGAGTGTCCCTCGCCTTTTTTGCACACTGCGGCGCCAATGCCTTGGGAACAATGACAAAAGCGCATCCTCTGAGCACGCGCCTACCTCCTTGAGTCAAGAAAAAGAACTTTCAGACGAGACGCAACGTGTGAACCTGTGCAGCATCAAAAAAAGAGTTCCCCGAGTCCACTGCGCGCGCCAGCAAGCCAAGCTTTTTGGGGGACACGCGAAAATCCTTTGGAGCAAAGGTGAGAATCCAGCCTAAGTCCGCCAGGCGTCGGGAGTACTATTCCGGGGTCCCCGACGCCGCGCGCAAGATCTGCCGCGACGAGGGTGCAAGAGGCAGGCTTTTCTGCTGGCGCGCCAGTTGGTGCGGGTTTTGGCCGAGCGCTTTTTGTCAGAGAGCTTACTTACAGAACCGCCCCGCAGCAACACCCCTTTTGCGTGATCCCCCATTAAGGGCTGCCAAGTTCAGGGGCGGGCTAGTTAACCCATAGGCTACTTTGTGCTGCCTGTTTGGTGGCTCCTCGTTGATTTTCGTGTTACGGGTATGGCTGTGGGTGTGGCTGTGGCTGTGAAAACCCACAAGATGCGATCCCGAAAGCAGCCGCTACAGTACTAGTTTAGCAGAACTGGCTTCAGCGTCGAACTTGCGCTGCTTTAGTTTGTTGTGTAGAACTGTTTGGGGCTGGCTAGTACTGGTTTCGTACTGGTCCTTCCCGGCTCTCTCCGGCTCTTTCCGGTGCTGCTTGCGTTCAACTAAGCTTTGCGTCGACATCTCGGCCAGTGACGCCAACTTCCATTGTTGGACAGAGCGCAGCTGACATAAGGGAGAAGACCTGGCGAGGAAAAACCTCTCGAAGCAAGCATCCAACGACAACAGCCTCCTTGCCTGCCGTGGACATGCGTTCGGGCAGGGAACCTTCCTGATAAAAAATGGAGCTTCATACACACATCACCCTAGCCTCCTACGCACATGGCGCAACGCTCTTTGCAGAATTGGCTAGCAACACCGTACTTGTCAAGGTGCTCCAGGCAAAGCCAAAGTTCGCATTCGCAGTCGTCCCTGGCCAACAAGCGAAACTCAAATATGAACCACAACACAGAAAGGGCACAGACGGTTTTTCGGCGCGAGGGCTTGCGGCGGCGGGTGCGCGAGAAGCAGGTCCTGCGCGAGACCTCGACGAGCTCATCGATCAAGGGCGTTGCCACGCTGATCGGCCGGCGCTCCTATGCGAATGCTTCTCGCCAAGCGACCGGTAGGAAAGGTGTGGTGTTGAAAATGTTGTCGAGAGCGCGCCTTGGTCAGCTTCGCAAATGCCTTGCACAAACAGGCTGGACACAATTGCTTTCATTACAACATTCAGTCCCTTCAAACAGCTACCAAATGCTGCTCCTGCTACACAAGCACGCACACACACACAGACGCAGAAAATGCTGCGCGTGCCACGAAATCTGTAAGCCATCTCCAAAGTGCTGCGCTTGTCACGCAGAACGGGCCCCCCAGCCACGCTTGACAACATGCAGCTTCTTAGACAGCTGCCAAGGCTGCCCCTGCCACACAAAACATACACCCAGATGCAGAAGACACGACGACGGCCACGAAAGCTGCCTGTCACGCAAAGCGGGCCGTCCAGCCACGCAAAACGCTCGACAACCTCCAGTCCCTTTAAATAGCTACCAGACGCAGCCCCTTCCACACGAACACACACCTAGACGCAGAAAACTTTGCGCCTGCCACGGAATCTGCACAGCCATCTTAAAAGAGCTGCGCCTGTCACGCAAAACGGCCCCCCGCCACGCGCTCGACAACATCAAGTCCCTGTAGACAGCTGCCAAGTACTGCCCCTGCCACGTAAACACACGCGTGAATGCAGCAAAGGTGGCGCGCCTGTCACGCAAATCAGGCCCCCAGCTGCGTGCTCAACAACATCCAGCCTCTTTAGATACCAGCAAAATGCTGCCCCTGTCGCAGAAACACACACTTAGCGCCTGCCACAGAAGCTGCGCAGCCATTTCCAAACTGCTGCGCTTGTCACACACACACAACGCTGCCAAATGCTGCCCCCTGCCACACAAAACATACACCCAGATGCAGAAAATATGACGACGGCCACGAAAGCTGCCTGTCAGCAAAACGGGCCGTCCAGCCGCGCGCTCGACAACATCAAGTCCCTTTAGATTTGCTGGAAGTTCGGCCGTGCCTCTTTCCCAAGCTCGGGCATGGCTCCAAGATGGTGTTGACCACGAGAGCACACACCCTCCTTCTCCAGCAGAGACCCTGGGATTTCTCGCGCATGAATCGTCAGTCCGCGTATCTGCCCTCGCGGCCACCGCAGCTCCACTAGAAAAGGGCCAGTGGTGTTGCGGTGTTGCAGATGTTTTTCTTCTGAAATCAGTAGTTCGCACTCTTGCTCCGCATTCCCGCAAACACAGAATTCCAAATTAATTGTTGGACTCCTCGTCGCTTGGCGGGCCGGCGCTGAGCTGGATCCAGTCCGTAATCGCATGAAGCAAGGCCTTGTCCCCGTTGGCCACTCCCGATCACACATTCTTCTTTACCTCGGGCAAAAACCAATTTTAAGGTGTCCCGCCGCCGGGCAAATCCAACAACAAGAGTTGGGCCTCTCTCAGAATACAAGAGTAGACAGCAACAAAATGGGCACATGAAGGCTTCCGTCAAGTCAAGATGCGTGCTGGAATCACCAGTGAAACAGTGAAGCTCTACCTTTCGAGAATTTCCGCAGCAAAACAACCCGCACCACTCTCTGCCTCTTCAAAGAAGGCTGCGCATCTTCATCTTCTCTGCTGGCGACAGTCAAAATTGCCGGCACCACGCAACAGGCGCGTGAGCGCGTCTTGAAAGCCAGGCTAACAGAAAGCATCCCAAGTTGTTTGACAGTATTTCACTCGTCGGTTGCAAGCAAGCGGCATTGTGTAGCCATCCAAAAATTGTTGTTGGGTGTGTGGCTGGGGAGCCCGCTTTGCGTTTCTTTGAAGATGGCTGGGCAGATTCCGTGGCAGTGGTGACTGTGCCATCAAGTCATTCCAGGATGCCTTCAGTCTGAGAAGGATGTAAAATGTTGATGCGAATATGGGGAACTCCGAGTTCTGTTGTTGATGATTGAAGAAATCGAAGAGTCGGTACAGATACACGTTGGTCGCTCCCTTCAGGAAGTGTTTCTTCGGTGTGTTCTTGACGTAGCTGACTCCTTCGACGGGATCTGTCAAGGACTTTCTCGCAAGTGTAGGCATCTCCCACGAGCCGTCGTTGAATCATCCACAAGTTCCCCGCACCTGAACCAGATGACTTTTCCGTACGATGGTGGCTCATCAGTAAATTGAGGGTCGCTTCAGTGATGCCTGCGCTGGAATAGGCCTCCACGAAGCTATCTCCACTGGATGACATCTTGATTTGGAACATTGAGCCCGGAAGTGTCCCTGGACCTATTTCAAGAGGATCGTGTTGATGTACCCCAAACGAATGTACTGACCTGGTGAAACACTTTGTAGAGAACATGTACCATGTACACATTCGGAACTTTGGCAGAACGCGGCTTTTTGGAAGAACGTGCTGCGGTTCGTGGGTGGTTTTTGCACTTATAAGTTTTGCGAGCAGAACGCCACCTGCGTTTCCTACATTGCCGCAGATGATCAACAAGTACTGAGACAGCACATCAATGACACGCACACAAAACACAGGAACGCATTTCCACTCAGTGACAATCTCATTGCACAATGGTTTATCATCCAGAGTGAACTGCCAGATCAGCAGAGAGAACGATGGAGCAGGGCAATGTATTTGAGGAATACCTCTCTCGAAAACAAACTCTACGACATGCTGGCGCCACAGTGTCACGATCTCTTCATCACGACCAGAACCTCCATCCAAGATCCATCCATCCGACCTTGTGGAGGCAACAAGACCTTCTAATTCTCTGGAACAAGGAGAACACAAAGGAGAAGAAGGCTTTTGGGCTGAGAGTAAAGAAGGACAGCAAGGTTTCATGGCGGAAGATGAAGAGACATCCTGGGTCCTCGAGGAGAATGACGCGTTCATTGCCAGAAAAGTGTCTGGGCGGACTCCGAGATTCGGAGAAAGAAAAGCAAAGGGCAATCCAGAAGCAGAAAGGGCTGTTGCCGACCAGGTTGCTGACCTTCCAGAGCCTACCTATGCCGGTTGGGGCATGGAGTTGGAGTGAAACAGGCTGGCACTCATCCCATGAAACATCCAGCGCAGGACATGCGGCGATGGCAATCTCTGATGCATTCCAGCTGAGATCGACCCAATCCAACACAGTTTCTGCGCAACTTTTCAGTCACCTCAATTTTAATTCTGGCAACCAGGCTGATGGACCACAGAGCAATCCAACCTACGCAGTCCTGGACAACGGATGTACCAGGTTCATGGGCAGCTGGCACGCATCCAGCGTTTGTCTCAGGCCATCGAACCAATGAAAAACCTCATCTCTTTCAAGTGCATTCCGGCCCGACCAACATCGACATCCTTGAACAAGGAACTGTAGTGATACTCCTCAGTATCAGTCAGATGAGAAATCTCTACATGACCATTGAGCACACGCCCCAATGGGACAAGATCATAAGCGGTTCCAGTTTCCGGAGCAGGACATGTTCCACCGAGTAATTGCTGGTAAGGGCCTGAACAGCTATGTCTGTGACGACGCTGACAGCATCAAGTTCCCACTTGCGGAACCATTCAAGAATGAGATTTTGCGCATCGAAGTCATCCGAGACGAAGTAGGACCCAGCAACTTGACAAGAAGAACAAGCAGCTCACTCGTGTTCGCATCACACCTTGAAAAGACATTGTTCACGCCACCAGGAGCTATCCAATTGATCCAAGCCGAGAACGTAGCACTCAGTTGATGCATCCGGAGAGACATCCTTGAGGACAATTGGAGACTTACATCCCAGGCAAACAAACCAATGGTGAACCTGTGGAAAGGTAAGACGGCTCAGGATCTGCTGCAGACAGGATCGTCGACAGGAAGGGCCGGTCGACCATTCAGCCAGATCCGTTTGCGCCATCCGCAGAGCAACCGACATTGCTTCCACTTGCGTTAGGCAGAATCCATCAGCGATCGTCCAAGACAGAAGAGTTAAAGAAGCTCCACCTCCAGCATCGTATGAATTCTGACTAATTTTGATTCAGAACTCGTGTGCTTCATTTGCCAAAATCGACGTACGAGCTGCACCATCCCGAAGCAAAACGAGTGAACTTAGAGCGGGCACATTTGGAGACACGACGTTCCTTGAGAACTTTCAGGTTCCCCCCGGAATCGAAGAGCGTATCCTTGTTTTTGTCATCCTGGATGGAGCAACAACATTGCTCACTGCAGAGGCAGTGAGTGCTACGCAGGAAGTCGAGAACATGGGAGCACTTGTGTCAATCCCTCGACACCAAACCAGTCTCACTGGGACCAAACACACCGTGGCCAAAACGAGCTGAGGCTGCAGTTCGACTCTTGCAGGCACATCTCAAGATCATGCTCAGCTCCACCAAGGCAGGAACAGCGCCTGCCTCTCTCAAGAAGGTCACACACACAGACAACTTGTTTAGGCCGCTGTGCAACTGTCAGGAACCAGACTGTCACCTGCGAGGGTGCAACACTATGGAAACGAGCGTTCGGAAGACGACCAGCAGATCTCATCCAGCTCGATGTCGCAACACCTACGTAATTGACAATCAACAGGACAGACATTCGAACAGACCTTGCTCAGAATCTTCGAATGATCTCCAAAGCTCTTCAGGTGAAGGACAAAGTGTTCTAATGGCAGGAAGACGAATCCAAGTTTCGTTCCGTTGCAAGCAACGGATTAAAAAGGAAAGTCATACCCATCGAAGGAGCAATGGTTGGACTCGATCTCGGAACTCGACTCATCAAGGTAAACGTGACAAAGGTCAGGGAGGATGAAACCATCCCACCTGGAAAACCAGGAATTCATCTTTTGTTCCCAGATGAAAAGGAACCCTGGCAGGAGTCTCCTGAACTCAAAAAGGAAAGAGTCATCCACGCCGGCTCCTAAGCCATCAGCCTCACGCCCATCACGCATCGACGGCAAAAGCCGCAGCACCAAGATCGGCAGAGAACATGTTGGTGGAAGACCTCACGCCCACTCCTAGCACACTGAAGTTGCGCACGCAAAGGACATATCCATGTTCCCGAGATTTCTAAAGGAAGTGCAATATCATGCTTTGCACTTACAGGTCTCAAGGTTGGAACTTTTGTTGACATCCGCAACGGGTTTGACGTAATGACGTGCAAGAGACGACACATGGTCCTGGAATTGTGCCAGACGCCCAGGATCTATTGCTGCGTTGCCTACCTCCTGGGGTGATGAAACCAATCCTCAGAAATTGCAGGAAACTTCCAGCTTGGTGAAACACGAACATCAAGCGCTTGAAGGCAATGCTGGCACATGCGGAAGCAGAACCAAACTGGCACAGTTATATCCGCACCAGTTCTGCCAGGCTGCGGCAACTAAAGGTGAAGCCGCTCGACAACGAGGTGTACCTTTTGGAGGACATTTTTGAGCCATTGAGCAATCAGCAGGTTGATCTCCTCCGGAAGGGGATGGATGCCATCGATAAGGAGTTCAGCATGACTAGCAGCAGCAACGCTGTTAAGATTCAGGACCTCCCATTCAAAAAGGATGTTCAGCCACTGATCATCAAAGATCCTCTAGTCCAAGAACTGCAGAAGACAGTGAAGCAGTAACCGCCAGGTGCTGAGATTAATCTTCTCCGACAGATCCAAATGACTGGTGTTGTCATAGCATGTTGAACGGTTGCAAGGAGCTGAGAACTTCGCGCGTGTCATCCACTCAATATGACCAGTGCACAGCGCACGTCCGCGTCATCAACATCAATTTGCCGCTCACATCACCTCGGACGATGCTTACATAGCTTTCTGGCAACCTGACCAGACGAATGGGATCTGGGTCCTGCTTGTTCCAACTCAACTGATCCGAGAGCGTGGCGCGCAATCATGTATTCATCCGTTCACAGCCCATTCTGAGATGCGGCGGCCCTCCAACTAAGGCATGTCGGATCCTCCTCCAAACCCACCGGATGATCAGCCCGATCATCCAATGCCACTGCCAGATCCACGATCCATCGCTGCCGTCACAGCAGTGGGAAACAGCCAGTTTCGTCCTCAAGCGGACTCAATCAACTGGGGGCTGACCTCGGTGCCATCACCACCAGTAACTTTGAACGTTCCTGAGAACGAAGGCAATGATGAAGAGCTCGAACTGTCGCATCTTGAGCAAGAAGAAACAACTCCACCAAAACAGGGCAGTCACCACCAAAGGAGCAGAAGACTGGGAAGAAGCCACGTGGGCAATCACCTGAGTCTTCACGCAGGAATGAACCTGCCTCTTCATCCAATGTCAATCCGAACAACCCAGTAAGTTTGCCGATGCAATCAGGCAGCGAGGATGAACTCATCACTCACGTAGCAACATCATCGGGCACTGGAAGTTCAAAGAGAACCATGAGATATACTGACCAAGAAGACGGTGAATCAGAACACTCTCAGAGGACACGAGCATACGATGATCAGGAAGACGACCTTGCGCTCGACGAGGCGGCCTGGTCCGATCAGAAGGTTTGTGCTAACACCGGATCATTCGCGATTCCCAGAGACATCGAAAGAAACCTGTTCTTCTCGGGAGAGCGAGAGGTACTTTCAAGCCAACATCTCGGTGCGGTTTCTCTCATCAGAGAATTACCGACAAATAATGTGGACTGGTTATGCAAGCGCATGACGGCCGACAACCGTGCGCTTCTAGTCTTGTACTCATCCAAGTAAGAATCCTTGAAGGCTTTCACAACACCCACATGAACAATTCACTGAGTCGATCATTCTAGAGTGCCGATCTTGGTTTGATAACGAAGTGTTCGATTTAGTCGCACCGGACAACTCGCGCAACATCAAGCTCTCTCGAGAACGGACGGCAGACGGGGACATCGATCCGCAGAAAGTCATCGCCGCATACTCTGCCAGTGTTGAGCAAGGGTTCAAGAAGATGTGGGTCAAAGCAGCACCAAAGTTGACAAATTCGCTCAACACTTTTACGAACATGTCAGTGCCAGGCCTACGGAGAAGGAGAAGCCCAGGTTCCGAGTACTCTGACCAAGGCGACGAATCCATTGCATCCGGTCGGTGCAGATCCGTCAGAACCAAAACTATCGTGGACTTCCCTGACACCTAGAATCTCCAAAAAGTCATGGCCGAGTTCAAGACCGTTTAAGACTAGCTTCCTCGCACTCATTGAGAAGTACAGGAGGAATCCAAAACCCCGGCGCTCTGATCTCAGCACACACGAAATCGATTCCCTCGCGCACGTTGATCCATCCTTCTTAAGTTGGCCATACTCATATGGTGAAACTTGGATGTCATTGGGCCAAGCACTGTTCGCAGGCTGCTTGACTTTCACGGGCCCTTGCCGGATGGTCTCCTCTCGGGTGTTGGCTCAGGTGACTTGCTGGAACCCTGGTTACTCACCTTGGTTACTCACCAAGGAAACCTTGGACTGCACTGTTTCCCTTCAGGAGAGACTCTTGCGGCCACAGCTTGAAAATTTACAACACTGAAGCTGCTCACTATGTGTTATGTTTCCGGGCCACCCATGCTTGAAGTTGTCTTGGGGGCGGGTCCTATATGTTTCGCAAACCGTTCTGTGTTTGGCACTGGTTTTGCCAGCAGATAAGCGTGCTGGGTTGACAAGCCCGACAAGATTGCCTTGTTTGGGGGGCAACCAAGAGCAGGGCAGTTTATTTCTCGCTGCGGCCAGCATTGCGCGCTATTTGCTTTCATTGAGCCCCTGATTGTTGCAGCTTTGCGCTCGGATGGGCGTTGTTGCAGCCCTGAACTTTTAGAGTATGTTTTGGCCTGCGCAACGTGAGCACAGAGGTGGGGTTTCAAAGCGGGTTGCTTTCCACGTGTTTGCTTGTTGGACTCAGAAGCTAGAGATACTCGTACAAGGCTCAGGCGGTTTCTGAGTTGGCCTTCGCCTCTTGGCTGCCAAGGCAAGGTTGCGGCAGCCCCGTTTCAATCAAAGGTTGCTGCATGGCATGTTGTGTTGTGTGTATCTATGCGAGTTTGTGAGAAAAGAATTAAACTGGTGGTTCGTGTTGGTTCCCACGTCATCAGGTCTTCAGAAATGTTTGCGGAAGTGGCTTCTCCGGGCAGCACGGCTGTTCCCGACGCGCAGGTGGGAAGTTTCGGTCAAGTGGCAAGCCATGGCCAGGCCTCTATCGGGGCATCGGGGTGTCCCTTTGCAGCACGACACCCTCCATTGCAGCTTGGCACACGCGTGCTTTTTTCGTATTTAAGATGTGTATCTGCTGTTGCTTTTGGATGTCCTATCCAACGCGCCGTGTTCTGCGAAGCGCGCAGCCAGCTGCTGCCGTCGCTACTTGGGACTATTAAGGGCCTTGAGCCCACACTAGTAGAACAATGTGTATGATTTCATGAAGGTCAAGCCAGCGGAAAAAGCACAGAACGCAACGGACGCAAATGTGCTTTGACCTTCGGCGTCGAGTTGTGTGCTGATTTAGGGGCCATTGCTGTCTGAAATAGTATGAAACTCATCACCTCGTCAGAAATATCCGCATAGACGAAGCGCATGCCAACGGGCCAACCAATGGAAAAGCAGTGGAACTTGATGAGGCTGTGCCAAGGTCGCTCGATTGTACTGCAACTTCAGAGTGTCACGTTTGATCGATGCTGTCTTCATTCTTCACATTGCTTGGGAAAGCAACGGTGCGTCAGTGTGGATTGAAATCATCGCCAGTGCCACGAGTCGTTGTTGTGCTGCTTGTGATCTATAGTCCTTCGGTTTCTGGCCGCCCTGCTGAGTAGCATTGTGCCATTCTGCAATTTGCTTCCTTGACTGTTCGGCTTCATGTTGACCAAAAGACGCGAAGGCCGCTCGGACTCACAAGTTCCATTCATGAGCTGTTTGTTGTTGATTTTTTCACACAGTGCCCGAGTCTTTCCCCAAAAGAAAACGTAGGTCGCCACGCAATCCGGAAAGGCACGGTCGTGGCTAGGGCAACTTTTTGTACATAATGTGCGACCCGTGAAATTCTTGAGTGTAGATGCTGCGCTGATCTCCAGTCGCTCGTGGAAGATGGCCCGTGTAACGGGCTTTAATTTGGGCGGGTGGCCAGGGATGGATGCGCACCGTCAAGGCAAATAACCTGCAGACCGTTTGGGGTTGTCACGCAGCCGCCAGTTTCATACTGGTAGCGGAGCTGGGAATAGCCCAGCGTCAGTTTTTCTTAGAAGGCCTGAAATGCCCTAACCTTGTGAAAGACTCGAACGACGACTTCACGGAGAGCAAGGCGAGTACGCGTACAGGGCCCACCGATTAGCGGGTAGGTTTCGGTGGTAGTGATGGCTTTAGCTAAAGGTGTTGGAGTTTGTGGTTAAATTCCTGAGGCCAAGAAGACATCGAGAAGCCCGAGATCTCTGCTGCGTGGCAGTGCCGCTGTCTTCACCAAACCAACCATGCCCGTAGTCGCGTTCAGTCTCTCGTGGCGGAATACTTTCTTCCACGGGAGACCTGGGCAACATGGACAGCTACGAGGTGGATGCTCGTGAGATCTCGTGAGCTTGAGCGAGAAGAGAAAATAGAGGGAGCCAAAGGCTTATTCTGTCACGGCCTCACGAGTTGCACTTCGGCGGCCTCACACCATGACTGGCCACAGCTCAACGATCAGGATGATCCGAGCGTCAAAAGCTCAGAACTGGGTCATTCAAATCGCACGGCGTTTTGCATGTGACGTCTGCAAGAAATTGGGGCAGCAGAACAACCCAAGCCCAAGGAGTTTGATGCAGAGATCATCGTGGACACCTTCGAGGTGAAGACGGTAGGCTTTGCTTCACGATCACCTTTTGCGCGCATGCCAAGAGAACATAGCTGGTGTGAAGATTAGCATTACCCAGTGTAAAGGACCGCTTATTTGGTTGCTTTGGCCATGGATAAACGACACGATGGCTCAAGCCTGCGATCTGAAATAGTCGTCATACAGCCGCACCAGTTTCAATACCATCTCCACTCATGATGTCTCGGCGATACTTGAGAACAAGCTGGCAAACTTTGTTCGGTCATCTCATCTGATAGACTGGTTCGATGTGGAAGACTGAAATTGTCGCACACGGCAACCCTGCTTGGTGAACGTGACCCTGGCCGTAGTCAAACCCAGGATTCTTACGGGGACAACTTCTCACTTTCGTCCGTGGAAAGAGGGTCTATCTTGTAGTACAATCAGCCACAGGAAGGGGTGTTCTGATGGTGTGAAAATGCATGTTTGATTTTGAAAATGCATGTCAAAATTGGATGTTTTATTTGGTCTTTTTTAGGGCCTTGATCAAAATGCGTGTCACAAATGCACATTTTATTCAGGGTCTTGCGAAATGCATGTCGTGAGTGCATGTTTCTTGGGGGCCCTTGACCAAGATGCGTGTGAAACAATTATGGTTCATTCGGGGTTCTGCAAAACACATGTCAAACACGCAAATTTCTAAGTGTCTGAAATGCATTAGTGAAACAAGACACGCACGTTCCTCGACAATTGCGTGTTTTTTCATGGAGCAAATGCATTTCATCAAGGCACCCATGCACTTAAAGCAAGCACTGCCTCCCACACACACAGGGTTTCTTCCAGAAAAAGGCAACTGCATTTTTAGCGGCCAACATGCATTCTTTTCCAGAGCTGTTTTTTGTCCACCACCACCACCACCACCACCACCACCACCACACCACCACCACACAGTTTGGTGGTGGTGGTGTTGGGTGGTGGGCGAAACCCAAATTGTTGGTCAGCCGCTGGTTGATCAGAGTTGACTGTGACCAACTGAGACTCGCCCGGCTTTCAAAGTCATGCTCGTATCGGGCTGCGACAGACTGAAGGGCATGCAGGTAGCGATGGAGAGCGTCAAATAGTGTCAATGACACTGGCCAAAAGAGCAGCGATTTGCCCGGGACAAGGGGCGTCTGGCGTCTTGCGCTTTTTTGGGCGAGCGGACAAGCGCTCGCCTTCTTGGATGACGTTTTGGGAGCAATGCTGCGCGACAGGGCAGTTGCGGCTTACTGCGTTGGGTGTTGCGTTTCCCCCCTGGACAGCGCCTTGAAGTTGGCTTGGGAGCAGACCTGCTTGTCGGTTCAGGTGTCGCGTGGCAATCCGAGGCCATCAACTTTACAGCTTTCGAGGAGTTCAAGAGCCTCTTCAGCAAGCTCGGGCTTGAGCTTGGCGCCAAGCCGCCCCAAGCTGCTCCGCCCGGAAAGTTGGCTACACTTTCAAGGTGTGACCCGGATTTTGCCGCGCTTGGTTTCCCATACTTGGTTCCACCAACCCAAAGGATTCTCATTGGTTGCGCGGCTTGCCAGGGCCACACAAACATTTACATACATTTTACTATTTTGGTAGAGTGGCTGGAAACAGTCGCTAGGATTTGGATTTTCGCATGCGTCTACACACATGCAAACGAAGGCTCGAAACTCACAGCCAAATCGGGAACATAGACTGGTGGTCCAAGAGCAGAAAAGGGCGCTGTTTAGGTCCTTGGTTTTTTCCAGCGATACCTCTTGAGAGAGAATCGCCCGCAAAGTTTGTCTTTTTTCGCTTCGCTTCAAGTTAGGCGTTGGTGCCTGCTCAGCAAACCCCCTGGCTAATGCTACCTGCTACCGAGGCCGCCATTCTTATTTGATGGCAATATTCGCCGCTTGTTCATTTGTTACCCCACTACAACACAAAAGCTATTGCGAATGCATCTTCCGCATCTGTTCCTTTTATAGTTCCAAAGGTTGCTGTAGCAGGCCCTGTCTACAGTTCGTCAATCTCCCCAAGAAAGACCTAACTCCTTAAAACTCTCACAGAACCCTTGTCCCCTCCGGAGAAGACAGGGGGTCGTTTCAGGCCTGGCGTGGCTCTCAGCCTTTGCTCTGGCGCCTGCGCAGGCGTCCCGAGAGGGAAGGGACTTACTCCAGATCGAAGCGTTTCAAGTGGATTGAACTCTTCTGATGAGGAACCCCGGCAACAAGAGTTCAAAGTGTTTGATTTGTTTCCGGGAAGACAACTTTGAAGGGAAGTCCACAAAGTTTCGACTTGTTGGCTCATCTCCGCGTAGTTCGGGATTTTTGCGCCTTTGGTTTTGCACTTGCAAGCCAGATTCCCCCTTTGCGTCGTCTAGCGGCTGCGGTGCCGCACCTCCGGGCAGCACTGCGCGCAGACCACATGATTAGAAACTGTGTGCAAGGCTCATTTTGCATTTCCTTTGCGCGACTGAGAGACCTCTGACTCCTCAAAAATCTACCAGAGGAAAGGCCAAAAGCCGTCAGCGCAGACATATTTGTAGTCCGTCCATGCTCGTGGACAAGGTCAGGAAAGTCAAAGCATACCGTGCGAGCAGAGGCGAAGCAGCAGCGAGAACATTATCACTTCCCAACCAGAAATCATCATCACGCATTGCACTGCAGGCGAACGTGAATCAGCCCACGCTTCCCTGACCATACCATAGCTTCGTTACGGCAGGTAGGTGTGGCGAGCCTCACGCTCCTGCTGATGACAAAAAGGATAGGTATGCGCATCAAGCCAGCGCCTGAGTGTTTTCGGCAGGGGGGCCAAAAACCAACCAACGTCGCGCGTTGCCACATTTGCGCCGAATGTCTTTGCAACCAGACGCACGGACACACAGACACACCGACACACAGACACACAGACACACAGACACACAGACACAGACAGACACACAGACACACAGACACACAGACACACAGACACACAGACACACAGACACACAGACACACAGACACACAGACACACAGACACACAGACACACAGACAGACACACAGACACACAGACACACAGACACACAGACACACAGACACACAGACACACAGACACACAGACGCACACAGACACACACGCGCACACGCGCACACGCGCACACGCGCACACGCGCACACGCGCACACGCGCACACGCGCACACGCGCACACGCGCGCACGCGCGCACACGCGCACACGCGCGCACGCACACGCGCGCACACGCACACGCGCGCACACGCACACGCGCACGCACACGCACACGCACACGCACACGCACACGCACACACGCACACACGCACACACGCACACACGCACACACGCACACGCGCACACGCACACACGCACACACGCACACACGCACACACGCACGCACCCACACACACACACACAGACACACGCACGCACACACGCACACGCACACGCACACGCACACGCACACGCACACGCACACGCACACGCACACGCACACGCGCACGCGCACGCGCACGCGCACGCGCACGCGCACGCACACGCACACCCTCACACGCACACGCACACGCACACGCACACGCACACGCACACGCACACGCACACGCACACGCACACGCACACCCTCACACGCACACGCACATGCACACGCACACGCACACTTGATTAGTAAAGTGAACCAGAATAGAGTCCACTTTTCCCCCCTGAGAAATTTGTGAAAATCAATCAGTACTAAATTTACTTCAATCCAAAACCATAACGGCCCTTATTCTGATTGGCTTTGTGTGTGGGGTACCCTTGCCTTGCTTGTGTTTTTGTGGCAACTTTTGATGACAAGGCTTAGTAAAGAATTTGCATGCTCAGAGCTGTGGATGAATCTGAGATGTGGAGCTGCAGCCTTCAGGAGCCGAATTTGGAGCAGTTGTAGCTGATCTAGATTTGGATCTGGTTTTGGTAGCGAACTGCTAGGTGGAGTCTCAAGCAGACTGTGATCCCTGAACTCTCTGAGAACACCTTGTTTTAAACACGGGCCATTGTTTAAGTGGACTAGAATAATGGCCAGCCCCAGCCATCCCCAGCTTTTTGCATTGCTTTTATGTTTTTAGTGAGCTCCCTTTTGCTGGCCCACCAAAGTTTGCGACATAATCATGGCTCGGGAAACCCAGACCCCAGCCGTGAGAAAACAAGTTCTGCACTAAATCTTGTTAAAAAAATGCAAACAAGCAATCAGGGCAAGGGTACCCCACACACAGAGTCAGGGCCGTTGTTTAAGTGGACTAAAAATAGTGGCCAGCCAGCCCCCCCCCCCATTGCCAACTTTGCGCATTGTTTCTGATTTTTCAGGCACTTAAAGTTGGCCACATAATCCAAGACAAACTGTGGCCTCTCACAGCAATCAGGGCAACCGCTCAACACCCCAGAACCAGAGGCCCACTGCGTTGTGGACTAGAACCCCCCCCCCCATCCCCAACTTTGTGCATTGGTTTTACATATAAAGCAGCCCCCTTTTATTGGCCCACTAAACGTTGTCAGTCACATAATCGAAAACAATTGGAACGCAAAAGGGTTGCAAGATTAACGTGGTATTCCAAAACCATGCTCAACAAGAAGTGGTTGCCAGACTCAAGTAACACTCCAAAAAACTAATTCCAAAAAGGCTGCTCCGCAAGAAGTGGTTGCAGGACTCAAGTAGTATTCCAAAAAACTTGCCCAGGAAGAAGTGGCTGCAAGACCCAAGTAGCATTCCCGAACATTTGCTCAGGAAGAAGTGGTTGCGAGGCTAAAGTAGTATTCCAAAAGTTTAAAAGTTTTCTGCCCAGGAAGAAGTGTTGCAAGACTTTTTGTAGTATTCCGAAAATCTGCTCAGCAAGAAGTGGTTAAGTATTCAAGTGCCAAGACACGCTCGCTGCCAAGTTCTATGATGAGACGGTCTGTCATGTTTTGGTATGGTTTGCGCTGCAGAATTGGGTGCCCAAAGAGCCCCAAAAAGCTCTTGCAACAAGTAGTCGTTCGTGCGCTTGACACCCATAGAGCCTTTCAGCTGCCGCTGATGCGCGAAAACGGGCGTCGCTTTAACCCGATGCTTTGTTCGCTGCTGAACATGAGTTGCAGACGCTTGACGCAGGCGACGCTTGTCATTTTAGTCCCGGGATACTTGGCTCAAGAGGCAGGGCCCTACGCCTCATGGTGATACGAATGCTGATAAAACAGCTGGGCTGCGCCATTTTTTGTTTTTGGCGAGGCTTGCGTGGGGGAAGTGACGCGCCTCGATTTTCATTCGTTATGTCATGGGCGGTCGCTCATTGAGCTGCGTTGCGAGTCAGCCGTTTGCAAATTCCCACTTCCAAAGGCGAGGGTCAGCATTTCTTTTGCTCGCGCAGGCAGCTTCGCCTCCATCGTCATGTTTCCATTGGATTTGGTGCGGCGGCAGATGCAAATGGTGGGCCTCGCGCTCAGGCTTGCAGGGGTCCAACTATTTTTCTTGGGGGCGTTGCTCGACAACCTTCTTGGAAGGCCACGTTCAAGTCAGTTTCTTTTCCACAGTTGCCTGGCTCCTGGCGGCGCCAGGCCCAAAACGAAGGCGGGCGCAGGCGATTGAGCTTTTAAGTCGTGCCCAACAAGTTCCAAAATGCGCAAAGTCACCTATTTCGCACCACCAAAAAACCCTGAAACAGCCCCAACATATCTTGTTCATGCCAACCCGCTACCCTCCAAAAACGACGCACAAACACGCGCTTGCGCAAATTCAAGCGCGACCGCAGCAGGGCCCTGTTATGCTGATTCAGACTGCGCGTGCGGTGGCCCGAGGCAGAATCCAACAGGGACGTGCCCTTGTCCGAAGTACACTCCGATAAAATAGAAACCGATAACGTGCAGTCTTGGGACTCGCAAGACGCCAGCGCGGAGGTGGCGGTGGAAGCCAGTACGACCTGCACCACCCTGGAAGACACAAACGTACAGCTTGCCGAGCGGAGTGCTGCGGGGAACGGCTGCGCGAGCGCCCGCCTTTGAGATTACGCGTGTGATGCCCAGCACAGGCGCAACCAGTCCACGCAACCTTGGCCCAAGGAACCGCTTTTTGGGAACGCCTCGCATGTTGTCACTTGTTTTCCCTCCTAGAGCGTCGACTTCATGCTTCGTACTAAATGGCTCTGCCAATAGAAGAACAGTTTGGGTCAAGGTCGGCACGCGTGGCCAGCATGGAAGATGCAGCGTTAACCAGGACGAGCGTTACAGTGCCAAGCGTCGCCCCAACCCCCTTGCTCTGCCGAAACGTAGCCGCCGCCGTCGCCCCACCACCACCCAACCCATTGCCCCAACCTGCCGCAAAAGATCTGCCCGAAACGTGTTGCAGTCCCGCAAGCAGTACCGTTGCCCCGCCCCCCCCACCCAACCCCGCCCCAAACCCCAAAAATAGCAATATTCCGCGGGGTTTGAAAACGACCCCGGCAAAAACAAGCCCAAAACCGCAGCCGCCAGAAG